AAAATGATGCGAGTTTATTGTCGAGGCAACGAAAATGTTGGTAAACCAATATGTCAGAAGTAGCCCCCCCCCCCAGTGGCCCAGCGGTATGTCTTTGGACTTACAACGCTAGAATCCAGGTTTCGATACCCATGGTGGGCAGAGTACAGATAGCTCTTTGTGTAGCTTTGTGCTTTACTACAAACAAACAAATATGTCTTCACGTGTCATAAATACGATATCTTCAAAAATATATACAAAATCTAGTTTTCGTGTTGTATCTCGAGTAAGGTATTACATTACAACAGGATATTGCTCACGCCAGGTACTCGAATGAACTCGGAACACCACTTGAGCAAGACTTTCTCCTGTCAAGAAAACAATAATAACTGCGTGTTTATGGACTAGCCTGCACAGTGTGGGCGGATCCACGTGTCACTTGAAGCAAGTGAAAACTGGAACAAGAAAAGTAATTCACACAACGGAAATGATATATTGCTTACTCTAAAACTTCTGATATATTTGCTGAACGGTCTCATCTGTGAGCCACTTTTGGTGTTTGGTTTTTTTCATTCTTATGAGTCTTATAAAAATATAGACAAATATACAATGTGAATTAAATATTAGAAAGAGCTCTGTTTTCTTTTCTTTTTTTTTTTCACTAAACATTTTATCGGTTGTAAAGAATAAAACTTTTGTTTATTTTGTTCACAAAGATTCACCAGATTTAACTGGCATCATCAGGTGAGATAAAAGAACCTGATGATGTTAGGTAAACCTGGTGAACAAAATAAACACAATTTTACTTTGTACAACCGATAAAACCTTTTGTAAACTATATAAACTGACCAAAGATTTGAACTACGCCTTTAGGGTGGCGGTTGGCTACCTTCGCTCTGGTCAGTAGTTACCTAGTGGTTAAATCGGGAACCTCTTTTATGACCCACTTTAACAATTCGATCAGAATATTAGGAACACTAATGGTTTGAATCCTGACGAAGCAGAACTCCGTTCCAGACTTTTCCGCCCCAATTTAGCTCCTGGC